GGAAATCACGAGACAGCCAGTCTCGTTCTTCCTGTTCATCATCATCATCATCCGCCGACCACATCGACAGCTTCACCCTCTGCCTCGTCCACGTCGGTGTGCACCCAGCCAACCGCCTCCCTCACCACGTCCTCGAGTCACCAGCGACGAAGACGACGCTGCGAGGACAACGAAGCCGACGCTTGCTGGCCCGAGGAACACGAGGAGGACTACGACGAGGACGACGAAGAGGACGACGAAGAAGACGTCGTGTGAGCTGCGTTTCGGGAAGATACCCGTCGAGGTACGAACACGCGGCTGGACAGTCGCCCAGTGTCGATACGTTTGTTGATGGGGGGATTTGTGGTGCGCAGGGTGCGGGGTGTCTCGACGGAGCCCGCGAGATTCAAACGTCCTCGAGCGACGGACGAGCCGGTTGCTGCGATCTTTTAGATACTTTGTTGCTTACTTAAGGAATTTGTACAGTTCGCTGCTTATATTGTTGTCGTTGAGCCTTGTGGACGATTGTTTTCGAGTTTCTTCGAAATTTCGAGGAGCCATTGCACCCGGAACGTTTGATGTCGATCGCGGTTTCTGGATCGTAACACGCGTTCCTTGCTATGCAAGTTTCTTTAATCCGAACTACCGCTTGTTGACGGTAAGACGAGAGACCACGTACAGTACCGTAGACAGAAACAGTCTCGCATACTTTAAAAATATGTCGGGTTAAAATATGTGCTAATAACTTTTATATAAAATTGAGGACCCTACGTGCAAGATCGCTTCTCTTGTTTACGAATGATCCCTTTAGAATCTCCACGTTCTTGCTTTATTCCTTCAAATTGTCAAAGTCTCTTGAATCTTTATATTATGTCTTTTTGGATGAGTCGTCATTCACAAAAGTGATTTGTTTAAGGGATAAAAGAGTTAAGGTGTACGTTGTTTCGAAAATCGCGATCGACATCGCAGCGACGGCGATACGCGAATCTTCGATCTGTACGTGGCTGAAAGAAATCGATCGAGACATCGATGAAGCGCCACTCGAAATGCGTGACTCATTATTGCGAATCAACCAACACACACACGATTAATAGATTGCGATCTACGAAGAAACGGAACGTAGAAAGTCGCGATTTCGTTGACCGTCGCGACTCGTCCGACGCTTCACGCGCGATCTCCGCTTTCGCGATCCCTCGAGACGTCCTCGATTACGCATAAGGCTTTCTGTGATACGCGACAACGACGCACCAGGCGATTTTCCGTTGCGTGGCACATCCTCAATGGCCAGTCCTTCCGATTACTTCTTCGTTTCTTAGGAAAACTTCGGTTCGATGCCATATCGGTTGAAATTTGTGTCTCGAGACGCAAAAGGGATAGGAAACCTTGTAGGCATGAATCATATTTTTTATCTGTTAAAAATTTGGTGAAAATTTGCACGCCATTAGATTTTTAATTTTTGAAAATTTGCTAAAGTTTGCAAGCATTAATTCTCAAATTAGCAGATTGTCATATTTCTAAATGCTGCGAGTCTCAAATTTTTGCACCCCCTCGTCCACTTACGACGTTGATGTTGAATGTAGGATATTTTTGTGAAACGTATTTAGATTGTACTCGAAATTGTCGAATCTCGATGAAATCTCATCTTTGTCGTGCCTGATCTGGTACTTTCAACATCTTTTTTATGGATCCAGCATCTTTTTCTGTGAGACTCTTATTTTCTTTTTCATTAGTTTATTATGCTTGTCAAGATAAGCAAAACACTGATCGCTATCGTTTCAACGATGCAGTCTTTCTCAGCGAAGTGTTTGAAAAGCGATCAAATTTTATAGCTATAAAATACACACGGTGTGATTGCAAATATTCCACAGAAGAGAAAATATTTTTCTTCTTCGACGATCATTTGGATCTTCGGAACTATAGATATCGATGACTCCATATTTTACATTCTTACTGCATTCTTTACACGGAGAAATTATAATTTTTATCCATTTAACAACAATTACAATTTTACCTAGTTTTAATTGAAATGACAATTAAGTAGTACTTTTACCTTGGTAAACCAGTCGCTTTTTATTGATCACAGTTCTTGGAGATAAGGAGCAGGATCGTTGATCGTTAGATTATTTATCATTCTATAGATTAATGCTCGACTATCTGTTGAAGATGACTCAGTGAATCGTGCACGTAATTCCTGTACAAGAAAATATTTTTGACTTCAATGTTCTCTTCTTCCAGTTGTTAAATCTTTCAATCGATAAAAAATCTTAATGGTTTGCAATTTTTAACAGATGTACCTGTCTGCTCTATAACCCAACATTCTGAACAGACTTACTACATATAATCTTTATTACTTGAAACTTGGTTAAAATGAAATGTAAAGACTTTGATTCATGCCAGGAGGTTAAAGGACGAAAATGGAAGGACAGGGCTGAATTCGCGATGGCTGGCTCGAACCCGCGAGAGCGTCGGCGTAGAGCAAAAAATGTGATAACCCGTGAGAATAAGTCTAAATTAATGAACGTAGGCTTGCAAAGACGCCCGTGTATCCCCGTGTAGAGGTGCGCGTTCGTACGTACATTATTCGAGCCCACACGATCACACACGTACACAGACACGACACACACAGGCACAAGGATACGAAAAATCGTTTACAGATTTTATCGAAAGCGTCGAAAGCAGGACACGTCCAGTGTTTTTTTTGTATGATACGTGTAGATAGCCGCACAACGTGTACGATGTACAATATTATATATGTTACAGAGAGCTATATATATATATATAAATATATAAATAAATGGAGTCTAACGATACACTATGTTAGGTATATACATATTATATATAAATATCGGAGATAAAGAATGGACGAGTGAATGACGAGTGCGAGAGTGAGCATTGTACAGCGCGTTTCAAAAGCATCCCCTAAACAGACGGAACCCCTCGAGGACGACCCAGTCGCGTAATATCCTCGACTTTACCCCCGTCGGAGGGTTGCTTTTGAAACACGCCCCTCCACGAAACGCCCTGTAAATAGAGGAGACCAGGGGAGCTGCGTGCTGCGAGCAACATCATCGAATCCATTTTCTAGGCTTTCGTTACATGTTAAACGCTCCCTTTCGACGACGGAATATCGCCCCTCGTTCTACCTATTTTCTGATCCATTCTGGATTAACAGTCGATATGTGTTTCGATCGCTTCTTGTAATTTAGGACGAGTTTGGTAAATTCTTTAATTGAGAAATTTTTCATTTTCACATTGGGAAATTGACTACCGAGCTGTAAGGAGTCTAACACAATTTAAAGCTTAAAGTCTGACAGAAATAACTATGTTTCGTGTTTGTAATACAAAATGGCTGGTCATTAGAAAGAGCGAACGAACAAACTTGAAACGCGATTTCATGACAGAAAACAAATTTAAAATGGCACTTAGGACGCATCAATGAAGCTTGATATTTGTCGAAAGTACCTACGTAAAGATTTCATTAAAATTCGCACTAGAAAATGACTGGCCAGTTGTGCTAAGAACCGATTTCAAAATGTGTAAAATCAGAACATTTCATTTCAAAATGTCTCATGTATTTGTAACACAAAATGACTGTACTTAGTGCTACGACTTGTTTCACAGTATTCAAAGTTCAGTGTGATAACAAAATTATAGCAAAGTAGTTACCGTATCAGTTTTAAGCTCTTCATAGTTGTAGAAGTGACGGAAGATCCGAATTTAATTCTCAAAATGGCACAAGATCTACGTCACTTTAATTCTTGTGCATCAACGTGGAAATTCCATACTCACTAATTTCTTAATAAAGCAATCAGAATGTTTTCTATCCTTTACATGTTCAAACATATATGAAATGTGACGTAAAATTTGAACGGTGCACAAAAATTAAAATACTTTATGTGTCTTCACGTGTTTGGAACCTAAACAGTGGTAGAGTTTCAGTAGCATTGAACAAGATCTAACGAAAGAAAAATTACAGAACAGCTCTACGACTGTAAATCGTCAAAGAACAAAATCAGAGATTATTTTAGTAGAATATATAGCATCATTTTAAAAGTATAATAACGAGGTCATTATAGTAAATAATACAAACGAGGGGCGAAACTGCAAGTATCAGAAAATCTTGTCGTCGTTGTTTACGCTTTCCATTGTTCCTGTGCGTTTCTCAGCTTTTTCTGTCCACCAGAAATTCTCCTACGACAACGTGACCCCGAAATCATCCCCTTTCAACCCCGTTTCTCAACCGTTCCGGTACTCTTACCTGTCCGAACTCTCCAGTCGAAAGTTTGGTCGAAACGAATCGGTGACTGGATGTACATACACTTAACACGGACACGAACACACGAACACAGATATAATTGTAAGCATGAGAGCGGAAAGAAAGGATGTCTCCGTCCGTTTGCGTTCATTTGACGCCGGAGACGAG